GCAAAATATGGGAGTGATCTACCTTCAGCAGTGGACCTTTATAGGCTTTAATGGATGACTGTATAAATAAATCGTATGTGATAATTAAAAAAATCGGACTTAAAAAAGCTGTTCAATAATATCATCATCATCATTACAGCCCTTCACAAGTCCACTGCTGAACATGGGCCTCCCCCAAGGTTTGTCGACTTCCTGCATGTCCTACCAGGTCGTCACTCCATCTAGTGGGGGGTCGCCCTACACTTCGCCTACCGGTACGAGGCTGCCACTCGAGAACCCTTTTTCCCCAACGGTTGTCGGTTCTTCGAGCTATATGGCCGGGCCATTGCCACTTCAGCTTACGAATCCGTTGGGCTTTGTCGGTCATTCTGGTTCTACTGCGGAAATCCTCATTTCTAAGTTTATCACGCAGATAAACTCGAGCATAGCCCTCTCCATAGCTCGCTGAGCGACTTTGAGCGTCCTCATACGGCCAGTAGTGAAGGAACACGTCTCGGTTCCGTAGGTCATCACCGGCAACACGCACTGGTTGTACAACTTAGTTTTCAGGTTTTGAGGTATACCTGACGAGAAGATGTGTCGTAATTTCCCGAACGCTGCCCAGCCGAGTTGAAAACGTCGATTGACCTCTCGGTCGACGTTGGACTTACCTAGTCGGACTATTTGTCCCAGGTAAACGTACTCGTCAACAACTTCGAGCTTAGTGCTCCCAACAACTACCGGCTTAGGTGTGACATGGACAACAATATAAAAGTTCAATAATATACAACAATATAAAAGGTCAATATTTAAGACAAATGGCAATGAGACTTAGTTTATCGCACGACTGTACGCAGTTAGCCGACTCGTTCAGTCAGCGACGGCCTAAGTGACCTTTTCCTGTCATTATCTAATGTTTTGAGTAGTCGTGCGACGTTGACAACTCGCGCCTTAAATCGAGAACTATGTATTCGACTAGAATGAATAGTAGAGAATCCAAAGTAAAATCGAACTTCACTCATTTGTTAACCGGATAAAAATTAATTTTATCAAATAAAACATGTTTCTAAACATACATCAATAGAGTTGCCTAAAAAATATGTTCACGGCAATAATAAATTTCAATTTTTATAAATTATATTTTCTCCAATTTCACCGACTTGTTTACCAAATGAACTAAGTTCCAATGGAAAGTATACACATACGCAATATGTAATAGTTGGATTTACCTTTTCTGGTCCCTAATACCTGGTTTTCGTGTATAAATAGATAAGTTGATATTAGTAATTGCACTTATCTGTTAACCACTTGACAGATATATCAATACGAAGGCAATTTCATTCTGAATCCAAATACAGAGATACAAGATTTCTTACGAAAAAAACGTTCAAAGGTTACGGTTGCCAGGCATTTAAATAAAAAAAAATTGGAACATGCGAAGATGTGTGACAGAGAATAAACCTCAATGCGCAATGCACGGCAACCAGTTATTAGGGACTAGAAAAAAGTAGGCAGTCCAACTATTTTCCTTTGGAACTTAGTTCAATTGGCAAGCATTTTAACGCGGCAGCTTTTGCTGTCGCCCGGATGGGAAGCCGCGAACTGGGGTGGTACCTCACAGAATACCAGAGTGAAGTCTGCGTTATGCTAGATGAGTGCAGGTGGCCGGAGGCCCATGTATCCTTCTCCCCCTTTTTAACATTGTAGTGGAATAAAATGAGGGAATAAAGAAGGCGGAAATAGCAGGATGGTACCAGCACCCCTGGTGTTGGAGAATCCCTCGCTGAGCATCCACGCCCAAGGTACCCTCTTCCTGAACATGGGTGCTCAGGGTACCTCGCGTATTCTGCTCGGGGTAAACGGAGCAATAAGACTGGCAACCACTGCCACGCTATCCGTGAATTTCTGCAACATCAGGGGAATGCATTCGAATCGTAACGCCGTCACTACCATCTGGAGATGGCGAAGCCAGCCTTGCTCTTTCTAACCGAGACTTAGATGTTCTCTCCGGCTAGCCAATCGGCTGATAATTAGTATCTCTCTTACTCGAGGTACAAATTAGAATATTACCTTGTGCCTCGGGCTTAGGCTTGCGTATACGTATACGACAGAGAGGACATCGGTTTTCGACGCCTCGGCAATCTTGAAGGACAGCGATGACCATCCCTGCGTCTACGGGTGCCTCTATAGGTACCATAGCGGTAATGCTGACACAGACCGACTCATCGAACACGTCCAAATGGCTGCAGACTCCATGCTAAAACAGGTAACTCCATGCTAAAACGAAGAGATCGTTATCATCGGTGATTTTAATGCCCACCACACTGAATGGCTTGGTTCCCGTTCAATTAATCACGCGGTAGATCTGTTTATTGCTTTGCCTTGGCATATAGTTTGACACAACTGGTTACTTTGCCTACGTGGATCACAGATGTGGAGAAACAAGCACCTTCCCTGTTGGACCTTCTGCTGATTTCTCATCCGGACGGATATTAAGGTCTCCGTCGACGCCTCTGGCTCCTCGGACCATGGTCTGATCCGGAGTACGGTACCACTCACGTCCCCAGCTATTCTACCCTTGGGGACGGGTTTGCTTCGCGCGGGATGATCTTAACGTTGTTGCTGTCGCTGATTTGGTGCTCAGGGAATGGGACATTTTATTCCATCATCTGTGGTACTTGCCGGAAGCAAAAAAAGTTGGAAAAACGTATAATTGTGCTGGTAAATGGCAAATATATACATATTTAATAAGCATTTTTATGTAACCTAGAATTCTGTCTCACTAGGATCAAAACTGCGTGTTCTTATAGTTTTTAACTCGCTTTCTTTAGTTTAAACTCTTCTGTAAATCTAAATCTAAAACTTTTCAGGTGTTAGGTGGCAGGCGTTATACACGTTAATTACACTGTGACGGCCTCAAAAATAACGAAACATAGAATTTACCCTTACGTAGTGCCAGTGAACTCGCGTGGCGAGTCGATTCAATTTATATTGCAGTGCCGGCGACTCGTCTGGCGAGTAAACCGTAAAATGTAGGTGGCATCCGAGAAGACATCATGAAAATCGTAGTGGTAATGAATGTGTTAAGAACCGATACGGTGTAATAATTTCATGACTATACAATACAATACCCTTTATTGAACACTAAAAAATACAACATAACAAGAAAGAAACAAAGAGAAAAACAAAAGGCGGTCTTATTGCTATGCAGCAATCTCTTCCAGACAACCAAAATAGGAAATAAAAATATGTGAAAAGTTAAGTAATGGGTAGAGTGCACTATAAATAATATTGTAATCTATAAATATAAAAGAAATTTGATAAATATGCCGAAAAAAACGGAATTTACTTAATTGACAGACTAGTGATCATAAAACGACCGGAATAGGTAAAAGGAGCAAGGATGATTTAGAAGGAAAAATAATGTTTTTAACTTGGTTTATAAAGGAGTCTATTGTTTGATCACGTTATATAGTTGATGGTAAGGAATTCCAAAGCTTAACTCCAAGGACTGAAAAAGATTTACTGTAAAATGTAGAAGAGTGCAAGGGACATAGAAGGGAAAGGACTATGATTTAGTATTCTCACTGTAATAATTACAGCTCCTAATCAATGCGTGTTATTGAAGCTTTTTTAAATTTTTATTTTTTTAAACTTTTTTTATATTCCTTCGAATACACTTCCCGATCTAATTGCATCAGCTGTATGTTGATAATTAGTAATTATTGATAAGCATATTATATGTATATACTTCATCTACCTGACTGGTAGTGTTCGGTTTATTAAGAGCTTACGAGTAAGACCCAATTGTTCGAGCGCCAGTTTTAGTGTATTCTTTAGTCTGAGTAAACATTACTAAAACTATATTATTTGAAGTTTAAGATAACTCGGACGGACCTAAAGTTATTTTTTTTTAAATGAAAAAATAAACGAACATACAGCTGATGATAAGTGGCAGCTGCAACCAACTTCAAATAAATAGGACTACAAATGCGTTGTCACCTCTGACGATTAAGATGTTATGCCCTCAGCCTGTAGCTATACTGACTCTCTAAGCCATTTTGACTGGAATCCAACAGTGCAGGCGCTGGCATTTGGCGACAGGAATATGTTAGAGGGTGGTACCGACCCAGACCGACTCCTAGACTGAGAAGGACCTACCGTCTAGTTAACTCAAAACCTTAATTTGTTGTCTCTTTCTTATTCAATATATTAAATTGTTTATATAATTTTGAGGTATTGCATAATGACTGATTCAAAGATCTAATCGCAATCTAATACACACGACTTAAATGTTTTCTAGGTTAAAGTTACACCCTGTATACGTCCTACTGCTGGTCATAGGCCTCGTCTCATTTCTTAGAGGATTTTAGGGCAGGAAGTGTACGCCGCGCTGCCCCAATGCATGTTGGGAAGCTTCACATGTCTTCGTAATATTTTTTTCCTTATTTCGCAAACATGCAGGTTTCCTTACGAAGTTTTCCTTCATCACCGAGCACGTGGTAAATCAGCACTTAAAATGCAATAAACAATTCCATTGGTGCCGGCGGGGATCGAACCTGGGGTACTGTGCAATTTACAGCGAGAGCTAACCATCTGAGCTACCTAGGATTAAATTTATACCTAGTAGTTTTTTGAGTGGTTCCACCCTCTTACATATTTCTGCCGTCGAATAGCAGTGCTCGCACTGCTGTGTACTAGTCTGAAAGGTTATAGTGAACCAGTATAATCACAGGTTTGATTTCATTATAGTCCTCAGGGGTGAAAACTCATCTGCAGCCTTATTTGTTTGATATAGTTTGCAGATAGACTTTAACTTTGTTTATCAATTCAGTATCATTAAAAAAATGGAGGTAAATGAACATAATGCTAAAAACAAAACAGAAAAGATATTTTACTAAAATACTTTACTAAAAAATAAATATATTCACAGAATTTTCAAATTACAACAACAAATTATTTACTTTTTATACATAAATCAAAATAATAAGAGGCTTAATATACTTTTAAGTGTCTTATGCTTAAACGTCACAAACAAATTCCATTGTAGTTATTGAGTTTGCTTCTAACAGTAAAATAGCTTCTTTCTTGCCACATTTTACGCACACAGACCTTACACTACCCCTAAAAATTAAATAATAGTATTATTATTTGATAAATGTTCTGTCTAATGGTGGCCACACACGGTCAGTTCAACTAATCATTCCAACTGATCAGTTCAAACAAAAACTGTTGATATTTTTTAAAATATCGGATTTCGATATATCCATAAATAAACATATACGTAAAACTCCGATACTAATATATTTATAACGATCGATATATCGAAAATCCACTATTTAAAAAAATATCAACAGTTTTAGTTTGAACTGATTAGTTGGAATGATCAGTTGAACTGAACGTGTGTGGGGTCCATAAGAATAATATTTAGATCATTTATTAAATCAAGAATTCTCCATAGCTTGTACATAATGCCACAAAGGCACACAGTAACATTCCTTGGGGGAGGATTTTGTTCAGAAGTGGACTTGTGAAGGGCTGTAATGATGATGATGATGTACATATATAATGCAGTTATTAGTTTTGGGGTCTCTATCGTTAATGATAAAGTAATCAAAACACGCCAAAAACGAAATTAAAATTTTTGATGACGTAAAAAATAAATGCTGTGAGAGCGTTTGTGGAATCCAACAAAGATTATATTTTGTCTCAGGCAACACTATTAATTTTTGTTTTGCCATTCTCTTACCTGCGAGACCTAAAACAATATTCAGTAGCATTATCTTCAAGTTTACCATCGCGTTTATCAACCTTAAATTAATACATCGCTAGATGTAGGCATCTCTCAGAATATCCTCTCATCATAATATAATTTCTCAGATAATCCATTAGATGCAGAAATATCAGTAGAGGATTTTCACTACTAGAAGAGCCTTATTTGGCTGAAGGATTGAAGAATGAAGAACCAAATCTTCAAACTTTAATAAAACTATAATTTGAGTATCTATAATTTAGATTTTTTTTGTTTATAAAACGTAACCCATTACACACACTAGGTTTTTCTCCTGTATCGTGGGGGCAGTTTACATACAAAAAGTTTATAAGGAAAAGCATCCAAATCCACAACAACTATTTATCTCGTGCGGGATTCAAAACCAGCGACACTTAGCGCAGCAAATCTTGCTAAGCTATTGCGCCACGAAGCCGTCACTAGTAAGTAACTTTGAAGCTGCCTTCCATTACTTCTTAGGATTTCTTCAATTTTATATCTTCTTTCTTTTATTCGCTAGCTATAAAAGTACAACTGACATTCCCATACCAAAAGTGGTACAGTTATGGGAGGGAGATGCCTTAATCGTCATGCCAAGCATTGAGGGTCCCAGTACCAGATGTCTTGCACCTTTGACATTGTTCCCAATCACCGGCCTGGTTGTTATACGTCAGGAATAACGAGAAGGTAATAGCGCCATCTTCGAAAGTCATAAAATCTTTGTGGCATTTTCCATAACCGCCTTTTACGATATATACCGGACATGAGGAATGAAGAATATTCTCTTATGTCGCCTCCACACGGTAAACTTATATCGTCACATGTCACACGTCAATTACATGCTTACACTCCGCTTATCGGTACGAGACTGCCACTCGAGAACCTCACTGTCGGTACTTCGAGCTTATTGCTGGTTCATTGCCACTTTAGTTTACTGATCCTTCGAGCTATGTTGATGACTCTGCTTCTACTGAAGATACCTTCAGTACCAAAATCACGCATTGGATCATTAAGATTCCTTATAAGACCGGGAGTACAGAAAACAGAAGATATAATAATATGAAAAAAATGAAAAGAACTTACTCGTTCAACAAAACGACGACTACAGTGCCATCTGGCGTTAGAAAGGCAACATTTTTAACGGACCAAGTAAAAAATGATTTCTTCTCTCTAATCTCGATTCTACGCGAACCTCGTTTTATAAATTTGGAGAAGTGTCCCATAGCGTAAAACATAGGCTGCTTGTAAAATTCATTTTCTTCGGCGTTCACAATAACAGGTGAGTCTACATAGTTTTTAGCCCAGTTTGGACCACCTCTCATGTTCAGACTTAAGTTCCAGTCGATCCAGCCGACAACATTGTGGTTTAAGTCCTGTTTCAACAAAATTTTGGGATTTAATGTTATCAGAAGAAAATGTTATTGAGACGAGGAGGTTGTAATAAAAGGATAAAATTCCTAAATTACACTTAATTTCTTTCACTTATAGTTATGATTTGAGGTAGTTGCCAAATCTGCATACTTTAGCGTTGTTATACGTCAATTTTAGTACGTTCAATTTAAGTACTTCCAATACACACAAGTTTTCACTAATAACCTTATTTTCGTAGTTTGATTTGATTTTTTTTTTGTTTAAAAACTTAATTTACACATTTATAATATAATATTAAAAAAATAAATTTCTAGTTTACTGTGCTTAATGTACGACGCGACGTTGGCCACCACGGCCTGCTGTCTTGCTTTGGATTACGTCAACATTTCATGCAGGGGTAATCAAACTTCATACAACAGACAAATATTTAATTTAATTTGATAATTTTAATGTTGAGTTTCTTGAAGTAAAATTATTTCTATACGTTTGAATACTGATTCTGATCACGCACTTAACGGGAACCGTATAGTTATCGTTACATCATGTATTTTGTTGGCACTAATGAAAAGCCATAACATCAGAAGACATATAACTTCAATATTATCAATATTAGTTCAATGTAAAATTGGTTACCGCCCCAGCATAACGTATTATTAAAAAACCTAAACGTCATCGTAATCGGCTGGTAACCTCAACATAGAAAATGACGAGGCAATCATGTCCTGATTGCCGCGTTCCTCGATTAGACTGTTCCAGTAACCCACTGATCAAACACTCACTCAAGTGCAAGTCATAAGTCCGCACTGCACTGTTTGAGTCGAGTTCTAATTCAAGACTGTTTGCTTAGCGTTCCGAGTGGGCCATATGCTATATCATTTTTTTTTATCCTAATAATTTCCTTTGCGTTTTCCCATATTACCTACCTGAAATGAATATTAAAATAAATGAATATTTTATTTAGTACATTAATGTTTGATAATTACAAAAAACAATACATGATAAAATTCACATATATAGTTAGTCTAGTTACTCGAAGAATACAAATAATTTTAGCAATCGTATCCGACACTCGTGACCCACTCCTATGTTATGTCAAACCATAGATGTATTGACTCGACTCGACTAGACGCAAACTACTAATGGTCACCTCAAAATTTGAGACGGCACTGAATTTTTACCTCCTCGCATGTTCTCCAATTTAAAGCAAATTACGGGAGGTTAACTGCTTCATACTAAAATGTATGGTCAGCGGGGAACGAATTCTGTTAAAAAATGAATGATTTTTATTCTTAGATTATTGCTTTTGGTTTGATTTAGTAAAAAAAGTTATAGGTGAATATATTATTTATACTTTCATCTCACGTTTATTCCGAAAATATTTTCTAAAATAATAACGAAACGCCTAGAAAATTAAAAAGTAAAGACTGTTTTAGATTTTTTTATCATATTTGACGAATTTTTTTCTCGATCATCATGATTTTTTTTATAAGTATCACGTGGTGTAAGTAAAGACTCATCTATTAACTAATTGAATTTTTTTTTATGGTGTCATTTAATGAAGTAAGTTCTTCAATATTTTTAAAACCATAACTGCCTGTTTGTTATTTAAGGACGGGCCTCTTCACAGGCGGGGATACGCATCAAAGGTGTGAGATGTCTGCCAAGCGACAGTATGGCAAAACCCATTTTATATAGAATGATTGTAACATACATCTATCTTCGATTAAGAATCGTTACCAGTAAGAGAGTCTGCGGTTCTCTACATATCAGAAATATTACCTCTGTTATAACTTCCTTAAAACGAGAAAGACTCATATCACTCATAGCACAACAATATATATGTGCTATATGGTGCAAGAGTTGACTTTCATACGCCGATAAAGAAGTTAAATCTTCAGAAGTCACCGAAGCAGCGTTCTATACATACTATTGATAATACTTATAACAGTATTTACTGAACACAATTAAAAAAATAATTTGCAAATACGTCAATGTTGTTCTGACCTCTGAACTTGGAGACCATGTATGTCATAGATAAAGAAGAAAAGAGATTTTTTACCTCCAATATGTCTGTTATGTAACTGATTGCCCTCGGCCATGAACCCAGTTCCACTTTTTCGGTTTGCCACGGATAAGAACCTGGTTAAGATAAACAACATAATGAAGACTTTATTTGACAAACAAATTTATAGCGTGCTGCTTGGAGATTTTGGCGACTGGATAGCACAATATCCAGTCAACAAATTAAAACCAAACTCAAATCCCATAGTGTTATTTTTCTCTTTATTTGAATTCATTGATCAATTTCATTACAGGCTAATCTAATGTCCAGTGCCTAATATAAGCCTACCCCTTAGGGTGAGACACTTCTCATAGTGGGTTTTTGGCAGTTGGGCGGGGCAACTGCAGTGTTTTTATTATTTAGAGTTGGTATCAGGAAGGTGCCGCTGCCCATCTCCTGTTTGATTTTCATCTGTCACCTCTTACGACACCCATGGGCTGTTATGGGGTAGAATATTTCTTTTCCTTAATATTTTTCAGTTAGATTTATTTTATTTTTAACTATATATTTAAAGATTACATTAAACACCACAATAAGTCATAGCCGTAACTTAAGCAATATTATATCTTGTAATTGAATTAACCGTGTAGTGGCGGTAAACATGTATCTAGTACCTCATATAGTACCGGGGGTATCGTAAGAAGCGATAGAGTTAAACTGAAACAGGAGATGAGCAGCAGCAATTTCCAGTGTGACAACTATGTGTACATATCACTCCTATAAGGTAGTCTATGGAGAAGATCAATATTTATCAGCGGACTTTTGTAGGCTGTAGCGATGACGGTACCGGTATAAATTAAGATTTATGAGAAACTAGCTATCCGTCCCGGTTACGCACAAGCGATTCCTGAATCACGACAACAGCGCCATCTACCTTTTTTTAAACAGACATTAGAAAATTCATCAAAATCGGTCAAGCCGTTTAGGAGTTCAGTGATGAACACAAGTACAAAAGAAATTATATATATATAAGGATACCTTCACAAGCTTCCGTTGCCAATATCATTTTATCTGGATAGGTCTTCGATACTGCATACAAAACGGCGGCAGGTACTATTTTGTCAGCGTAGAAATGCACACCAACACCGTCTATGTAGTCTAGTGCTTTGGGATACTTACGTAATATCTACAAAAGAACAAAACTATCTTTTTATAAATTCAGTTTAATAGCATACTCCGCAAATATACACATCAAAAAAAGCTTGCAATCAGTTTGAAAAATCTAAATGTTTTTTTTAAAGATGAGGAGGAAACATTTGGCAAAACTGTTTCTTCGTTGACGAATCGCGAATTAGTCAGATAACCGACGTGTCTGTATCTGGATAAGACCTGGAGACTCTGTATGGCAAGAACTGCCACAGGAACCGTTCAGCAATGCGAGCAATTGAGAAATCGGTGTCCTTTTGGGGTGGAACTATGATTGAAACTAGAACACCTTTGTTCCCGTATCGAGGCTCCACGACGTGGCAGATAGGTATAAAACAGTCGCTATTGATGGAATCGTCGAATCGAGTAAACCGTGGGCACCAAATCATACTGGTCGATGATAATGTGCCCGCACAACGAACTCAACGAAACAATGATGCTCTCCGAGAATACGACATCACAAGGTTAGACTGGTCTGTCGGCTCACCTGGCTTAAAAAACAACAGAGCACACGTGGGATGCTCTTAAACGAGCTGTTTGGAACCGTTAGCCACCTTCCCAAATAGTACCAGAGATCATGGAAGTCGCTGTTTAAGAATGGGACAGGCCATTGCAAGAATTTTTTTTGATGTGTAAGAAAGTAGAAATAGAAACTTTTTGCTCAATATCTAATATAAAAAAATATGTTTGTTTATTCGTATTTTATGCGCTGCCATACCGTTCATCAGATTGCGGTAAAACTTTGTCAACTTATTGCTTGCACTTCCGCGAAGGTTATAGGCACATGCGGATCCGGGGCAGGTCGCTATTAGATTATAAATAATACTTATTGAAAATCACTCTTATGTTTAGTTAACCACTGGTTCGGAAAATACATATGTCCTGGAAAGAACCAACAAGAAACCCAGCGGGACATATTTTTGTTCAAAAAAGAAACAGTTTACAATTATTAATATGTTACACAATTATTAACACGACCAAATAAATTAGAAATTGCTTGGTAGCAAACACTTAATTCTCAGGGGTTATCATCATCCATAAATTCCTTAATAACCTATGAAATTGTCATTCTGCAGTACTGGCCATTTCATAGCTAGCATGGCTAAACACAATAATTTTTGTTTAAATTTGTTGTTGTGTTGGTGGACGAATTAAAAGCGATTGTGGAAGCTGATGATACTCAATCTTACATTACATTACACAACATTAGTCCATTTGCATCAAAAGTAAAGTAAAGTTACAGCCTATATACGTCCCACTGCTAGGCACAGGCCTCCCCTCATTTCTGAGAGGGTTTCAGGGCAAGGAATTGTCCGCCGCGCTGCCCCAATGCGTGTTGGCGAACTTCACATGTCTTCGAAATATTTTTTTTCTTATTCCTGAGACACGCAGGTTTCCTCATGATGTTTTCCTTCACCGCCGAGCACGTGGTAAATCAGCACTTAAAATTGCAATTAACAATTTCATTGGTGCCGGCGGGGATTGAACCCGGGTTACTCGTGTTCTGTTACATTTACAAGAGCCGTGGTAGCTCAGATGGTTTGCATGAAACTGGTAGATTAAATCGCCTGACAAATGGGTGCCACACGAACTAAATAATCGCCAGCGCGAAGTAGGTGTCGAGATGTGCCCCGCACTACTCAAGAGGCACACATGAAAGAATTTTGATCCGCAATGTTACCTGCGACGAAAAGTTGCTTCTGTTTGACAATCTTAAGCGCTAAGCAAGTTGGTTGCATCCTGGTTCAACACCTAAACCATGCCCTAAACGAAAACTTACCCCTGGAAAAGTGATGATCACTGTTTTTGTAAATTTCTTGGGGTTTTGCTGTAAACTGTTAAACATCGCTCAAAAAAAGAAAACCCGCCAGCAGCAAAGTAGTGTAAAGTAATGAGTAGCAAGCAGTAAAGTAACCATTGACATTTGTCCGTTTTTTTTAAAGTACTTAATATATTTTTGTGTACATTATAATTTCGTAAATGTATTTAGAGGCCAAAGTTAATATATGATTTTTTAGGGTTTTTTTGAAAACAAAGAAATAAATAATGTACTAGCGATCCGCCCTGGCTTCGCACGGGTGATTTCTAGATCTTGACAACAGCGCCACCTACCGAATCCAATAGTGAATTTAAACTATCCAAGGACCCATTCATCACATTCACGATTGATTCACCCGTTAAGGAGGAGTTTAGTAGATATGTAGTAACTACTGTACCCCTGTCCATTTCTAATGTCTAAAATTTCCCATTCAATGCTAAAGATACGTGTACGTAGAGGTTGTCACTCTGAACATGAATATTCTGTAACTTATTTATTTCATAGACTTCCTCCTCAGAGTTACTCTCTAGTTCTATTTGAATCTGTTTTTGCTCCTAGAAATAAACTGATTGTGTGTGCCCCTTTATTTTACATTTCCCACAGTAAGTTTGTCTTTTATTCTACACTGGTTCGCTGTTTGGCTATTATTCCCACATCTAAAACACTTAACGTTTTTATTTGTAACTTCTTGTATTTTTTTATACTTCTTTACTGAAATTTTATTTATATTCTACTGTATTATTAATCCCATTTCTTTAGTTTCATATTTGGATATTTAAATAGCTAAAGCAATTCTCATATCATCAAACTTTGTGGATGGTTCTTAGAGTAGTCTGCATTTGTTTCAGATAAAATTGCATTTTCCTCCGATCTCTTTAAAAAGGGTTAATATAATATTGAGGAATTTATGAATGATAATAACCCCTGGGAACGGTGTTCGATACCAAGCTACTTCAAATTAGTTTTGTGTTGTTAATTGTAACATACATGATTGTAAGTAATTTAAAAAAAAATAGTCCCGTTGGGTTTCTTGCTGGTTCTTCCCAGGACAGAGTTTTTTTTGCGAACCAGTGGGTAATTGAAAAAAAAAAGTGACTTTCAATAAGTAATATTTGTAATCCATATTGAATAAAAACGTTTCTGTTTCTATCTTTCAATCTTGTTACATAGTTTGCAACTGATTCATATTCAATCTGTGTTCTGAGATAGAACTTGCGTTTCTGTGCCACTTCCCTCCAGCTCCGGAGCTATATGATTGCCTAAGATTTTCACTAATTCACTGTAGGATTTTGATTCAGGTGTACTTGGTGCCGCGATGTTTTTTAAAACTTGATAGTATTTCGGACCAATGAAATTTAAAAATATTTGTAATTTTGTAGTGCCGTCTGTAACTCCCTTTAAAGTGACGTAATTATATATTCTTTATAAATAGCTCGAAATTTTTTTAATTTATTTCTTCACACTAGCTTGGTACCTTGTTCAAGTAATGCCTTTTGTAAATTAGCTTGCTGTGTTTGCATACATCGTATTGTTTCCATCATTTGCGCAAGTACTGCGGTTATATGTTGTTCCATTGCGAATTTTTTGTGATGATATGGAAATCCTGGATAGAAGTTCGGTTTTTCGTGTGGTTTTTCTACAAGAATGAGATTAAATTGGCGAGGCACCATTTAGTTTTTTTTTAAAACTTTTCTAAGCCAGCACTTAGCTACAATCCCACCCGATGGAAAGTGGTGATGTCGATTAAGATGGTAAAGCGCACTGACTTAACAATAACCTATTCACTCTTGCCTTGAAGACATCCACATTGTAATCGGATGGAAACACAGATTCTGGCAACTTATTCCACACCCTTGTTGTACGTACGACGTAGCAAACCGTTTGGTTCTAATGCGTGGTAAGTCAACAACGAAAGGGTAGAGACTGACCGAATGTCTGGTTGTCCGATGGTGGATGGGAGAGGAAGGAATAAAATTATGCAATTCCTGCGCACACTAACCGAAATGCATCCTGTAGAAGACCGAAAGGCTGGCTACTTTGCACCGGTGTTCGAGGCTGGTAAGATTGGTTTCAACCGAGTTCGTGTCACCAAAAGGCATCTTAGCACGCCTTTCCATTGAGTCCAAGGCCACTAGGTGGCATTTGCAGCACCAGCTCATAAATGGCAGCAATACTCCATGCACGACTGTACTTGCGCTTTATATAAAGTAAGCATCTGTCCAGGCGTGAAGTATTGCCGCACCTTTGCAAGGACTCTTAGCCTCCTTGCAGCCGCTTTGGCCTTGGACCCAATGAACCGTCCGAAGTTCAGATTTGAGGATATCTCAACCCCTAGCAACTGGATGCGGTCGGTCTATTCCAGTGATACATTTCGGAGAGAAGGTGAGCTGGCTCCTTTTTGCAGTGAAGAGACACGCTTGTGTTTAGGAGGCGTTGAATTTCACGAGATTAGCATCGCCCCATTCGGAGACTGCCTGTAGCGTGAGATTCACACGCTCTACCATAGCTTCTCTGTCGGACTGGATTTGATACCGACTGGCCCGAGGAGCTGGTTGATATCTCTCCACAACTGTGTAGTCGTCAGCGTACCCATAGATATCGGGCATAAGCAAATCATTTATATGCAGTAGGAAGAGAGTTGCGGAGAGGATGGACTCCTGAGGAACCATGGGGCGTTAGTCGTCACTGAATTGGATAAGCAGCCATCGACGTTGATCCGGAGAGACCGTCCACTCAGAAAGTCCTTTACCTAGTCAATCAGATCAGGGTATAAGCTGTACGCTTGAAGCTTAGCCAGAAGGCAAGCGTGCCAAACTTTGTTAAAGGCTTTTGAGACATCAAGGGAAATGGCAAGTGCTTCCCCACTGTTCTCGAGTGCCTCGTCCCATACGTGTATGGCATACGCTAGGTCCCCAGCTGACCGATTCGGCGAAACCCGTATTACCGGTCACTAAGTAGTTCATTCTGTTCTAGGTATGCCACTAAGGGAGCGTTCAATATACGCTCCATATGCTTGCAGAGTATGGAGGTAATTGAGATTCGCAGATAATTGGCAGGGTCAGCACGGCTGCCTTTTTTGGAACAGGCTGCACGTTGACCAGCTTCCAGGATTTTGGCACTATTTCAGTCCTAAATGAGAGGCGGAACAAGCGTGTCAACACAGGAGACAACTCAGGTGCAAAAACCTTTAGTACTATAGCTGGTATACCATCTGGTCCACTAGCTTTATTCACATCTAGACACCGCAAGGTTTTGAGAACCTCCTTATTTGTGAAACAAACCTCTGACATTGTGGTCCCGCAGTGAGGTAATTAAGGTGGAATGTTGTTGCCACTGTTCAGACGTGAATTATAGGCAAATAGAGATGCGATCAAGTCCGCTTTCTCGTTAGCTGTATGCGCCAGTGTACCTGTGAGTCTTTGCTGAACAGAGTCTCGGATTGGGGGCGACTAAATCTACTTTAACCCCCAGAAGACACAAGTTTGCGCGTTAACCGCTAAAAAGAACTCCTTTGTCGTATCTCCTCAGTTTCATCTTTCGGCACTCCCCTTGTTGCCTCAGTCAGAATCTGAATCCTCAGCGTCGACATATCGAGTGACGTGCAGTTTCGTGGTCACTTGGAAGAGAAGGCCAAATTGGCCTTCTATAAAGCTTGGCGTGCTCAGCAGAGCGATACAGTATTTCATGCCGGCACACCGCTTGCAACTTTACAAGGCGCAGGTTCGGCCGCACATGGAATACTGTTCCCATCTCTGGGCTGGGGCTCCCCAGTACCAGCTCCCTCCACTTGACTGCATCCAGCGCAGAGCGGCTCGAATCGTCGAAGACTGAGTGCTTTCCGATCGGCTCGATTCACTAGCACTGCGAAGAGATGTTGCATCTCTTTGCATTTTATTTCGCATATACCATTGAGAGTGCTCTGAGGAATTGTTCGGATTAATCCCAGCCGCCAAATTTCGTAAACGCACTACGCGGCAAACGTCCCGATACCATCCACACCATCTGGATGCTTGGCGGCGCAGCCTCCCTGTGGAATAGTTTACCACCGGCGATTTTTCCGGACCGGTACGACCTGGGGACCTTCAAGAAAAGAGCTTACTCCTTTCTAAAGGTCCGGCAACGCACCTGCAATTCCCCCTCTTCTATAAAAAAAAACCATCCGCTTTTACCAGCGGAGGCAGTGAAGGCCGACAGAAGTTTGTCTCGACCGCTTTGGCAATTTTTAACACCGGTCTGACAATTTTTAATGCTGCAACAATAAGTACATATTTAATCTAATTATTTTTGATTTGACCAATTATGTACTTATTATCAGTTTATTTAACAGTAAGTTGATGGCGCTGTCATTACATTAAAATATGACATAAAGTGATTTAGAATGTATTAAAAATTTTGTTTTTATCAAATATATGCAATTAGCGCCACTAGCGGCGTGTAATGAAATTATTTTACGATATAACAATAACTTCTAGAAAAAGTAATGTCATGTTTAGTTCTTAATATCGCCAAACAATTTCTATTCATCGACTATCACGACGTCAAAGTTATATCATCATATAATCAACAAATACTGTTAAATTTTATGAAATACTGCCATTTCACTTTTAATAATCGACAAAAATATGATATCTGACCAATACATCTTTAAAAATCTTTTTATTTAAACTATATTTATTGATAATGAGAGTTTTGTACTAATTGTAATTTTTATCAGTTTATTAATAGATAAAAGAAACTAATGCCTTCTAAAACTTTTATAGATTAGAAATTAAACCTAGTAATAAATATCCTTAATTTGATAATTTTTGATATAAGTCACTATTATCTATTTAAGTAGTAATTAGTTACTATATAATTTATTTATAACTACTAAAATGAAATAAAAACTAAAAAATGAACATTAGAAATTTCAAATCAATTATGAATATAAATAACTATATAAATACTAAGTTATTTATAACCATTGAGCTATTATGTACTACGTACTAGAGGCGACACTGCATTCAGCTACTTTGTTCCACTCAACTGCGGTGCATACACCGCACTTTAATCAGTCACTCACTCGCTAGGCGCTTGTAGAGTTGTCACGTGTTGAGTTGATTTAAAAAAAATCTCTTGATAAAAATATGTCGTCGTGTGTACTTAAATATTGCACAAATAATTTAAGAAATATCGGTTAAAACCAAGGAATTACTTTTCATCGGTTAAAAAAATATTTAATCATAAAAAAAGTATTATAGATTGATAATAAAACAAATTATCCTCAGACGCCATCTTGTGTCATGCAATATAAATTATGAAATTAATATGTTCAGATGCGACATTTCTGTGGGTACTTAAGTATAAGACGAATAACATTTTTTTTGTAGAAACATATATAAGTTATTATAATTAGGCTAAACTTTTCATGTTTAAATCTGCTTATTATTCTTTTATTTTATTTTTAGGTTTCCACATCAAAGTCAAAGTGGAATAAATTCGTCCATTTTTAACTCTCGCGTGCCAAGCATTTATGAACGACTCTTATTTTAATTTAAATAAATATATTTGTAATTTAAATGTTATGTTAATAGGTTTTGTTAAACATACATTTAGTATATTTTTCATATTTGACATATATACTTTTTAAAATATTCAGATAAAAACATCATTAAAATGTTATTGTGATATAATATTATGTAATATTGTATTAAATAAGCAAATATAATATACAAAATAAATGAGAAAATTTAAATATTGTTCTCGATATAATTTACAAATTTAACAATACAATGTACTATTACCTACGGGTCATTCTATAGTTATTCTATGATAAAAAAGCCGGGACGTAGCGCACATTTTTTGTTTGAGATAGCTGTTCTAGTACGTAAGTACATATTACTTCAATGTTTATAACATTTAGTTTATTAGTAACTATAGAGCAAAATGTCACTACTTTTTGTATTTGTGTGTAATATACAGTATATTAAATCTGCATTGGCCAGGGAGTAAGAGTATTGTCATTATCACAGAGTAAGGAGTTTATCTTGAAAAAGTGAATACAACAATAATATCGTAGATTTTCGGCGTAGTTTAATTTATTACGCAACGGTTACAACTAATTTTGGGCTTTATTTATAAATATTTCATTTATTTTAGTAAAACACATCAATCGTATAAAGTAAAATTAACATCTAAAGGAAGGAAAATACTTAACCCTTATTTTATGAAGTTCCGTAATCGAATAAAAAGTGCCTATAGGTAGCCCCGGGTCCCTAATTACCTACACACGAAATTTCATGGAAATCTGTTCGGTAGTTTTTGTGTGAATCTTGAATACACAGACAGAAAAAATTCTGAAAACCACTAATATGGCTTTAGTGTCCTTTATTTAGTCTCCTGGCCTTGTTTTTTCCAGAAAATATTAGAATTACAGACACAACTTTTCTACGGATTTATTACATGCATAAATAGTTACACTTGATACTGCACTTAATTATTTATTTGAAGTTAATTTACAATAAATAGTATGAAAGCAATATTAGAACGTAATGGGAGTAAAAATGGATGTAATATATCATATATAACAAAATATGAGTCTTCCTTTGTCGCGTTATAGACATGGTTTTTATGTTTACTGTTTATGGTCATTTTCCCAATGTATAATAATATATGAATATTATTACCTATTACGCAACATGTAACAAAACCCCTGTAATTCCCGTGGAGTAAGTTATCAGAATCAATATTCAAACGTACGGAAATGTCACTGCGAACATACGTCACGCAACGGTGTTTTTAATTCCGGAAAATGACTGTTTCCGCTGTGAAATTATGCAAAAAATGCTCTTGGAAAAAAAGATAAAGATAAGAACATTACTTTATCGTAACTAAATATACAATATTGTGGTGTATTTACTTGTAAAACAATACGAAAGCTAAATCATCAATCATCAATCGTCAATACAAGTATTAATACTGTGCAATAATATTCGAGTGTTGCCTAGTCTATAAAATGCTATTCCCATTTTTTTACGTCATGGTCGACTGAAAAGGTTTTAAATTTACATAAGGGTTTTAAACGGTCTAATTTTACAGGTTTTAATCTACCTATAGAGTTAAACTATTTTAAGGTTTAGGGTTGAATTACATCTGGCAGCACGGAATCGCACTTTCCTGTGCTTCTATCCTTTTTGGTCACTCAGAACCGTCATTTACTACAGCGAGAAAGAGAGATACATAAATATCTACTGTGCTTTTTTATTTATTGATAAATTGAATAATATTTTAATGCGATGTTCGTACCTACATATAAAAACAACCAGCCATATCCTTATTCATCCCCATTTTTCCCAATACGAGTATGGAAATTACTCTCCGGGGCGTCTCAAAGACATATGTTTAAGTTTTGACAAATAAAAGTATTTATTATTATATTATTATTATTATATCCCCATACACACGCACAGAAATGCACATGCCTCGCACGCACATTTTATATTCGTAGATTCAATAGGTACGTCAATATCAACGAAATATAAAATCTCCCACATTTTTTGGTAATCGATTAGCACTATTATTACCGAAATCACGCACATTAATGCAGGCATGGTACGTAAGATATGCGCGTCACGTGGTACTCACGCACACATGAATCAAAGACTGGCGTCACTATGAACGATGCGATTTGTTAGCAACACGGTATCTGAACCTATAAAATATCTTTGATTTATGATTGCTAATTGTGTGTGAGTATATTAACTCTGCATTGGCCGGGGAGTAAGAGTATTGTCATCGTCACAGAGTAAGGAGTTGGTTTCTTTGCTCATGTGAAATTGTCAAAGACCCCGCTTTATACCAATGCGCGTGTCATTTAGTTCAGATGTGAATAAAATTTCTTCACCGGATTAAATTTAGTTAGTCACCTCACAATAATGAACACTAAAATCTCTTTAACAACGACCAATAAAATACTGTCATAAATAGCATGCTTATACATCCATCCCCAAAAGAATCACCGGGTTCTTTATTAAATACTGTATTATTATAATTAAACTACTGCAAAATTAAAAAATATGTATCTTATCCTAGCTCTTTGCTTGTTAAAATAATAATCATATACGTACCCCATTAAACCAAAACGGTATAGTAAAGCGCTGATCGTCACAGGACAAAATTTTTACGTTTTTGAAAACGGAATTCCGTATCATTGGGCCCAAATTATTGACAATCCATTCGCCCTGAAACATTTATTACAGTTTTGTAGATCTTCGTACCGTTACCGTTAGTCATCATATAAAAATAAATTTAAATGTTTTCCATTTTGTTTCTTGAGTTTCTACAAGGCTTAAGGCTACTCTTGTATAGTTTTAGACGGTAATCTGTAAGGCCATTGCAGTCCGTAGAAATCTAAGGACATTCTAGGTAATAAACATAATTGAACGCGTCTTTGTTAGGGATTAGCAGCTTAAGCCATGGTCTGCATGGCTACAGACGAGCCTTGATTCCACCTGAAATGTTGGCTGATGCTATAAGAATCTTACCATTTTTTCTACGGACCAACCGAGAGTGTTAAACCTAGCTAATCCAAAGTAACCATCAATTGGTTCGTTAGTGGTAGTGATTGCCCAAATATTTATACCTTCTTCTGCGTACTTTTCTAAAAATCTGAAACAATTGTACTTATTTGACTGATATAATTTTGAAATAAATACTAGCAAATCTTGTTAATAGTATTTATACTATTAACAAAATTTGCTCCTTTAACCACTCCAACTAAGCTGTAGATGCTTGTACTGGTTTACGACAATAGTGCTATGGCGGATCCGAATCCACGAATTTTGTGTTTCGTGGTCCGTATAATTAATCATTATGCTTCATCCATTCCTTCAACATCAACTTAAGTCTACACAAATCGTCTGTAGAACATAGAAGTATGGGGATATTATCGATAGTTACCACGCTTGGCAGTCGGAGTGACAATTGCAGTTATTTTCTATTTATTATTAGGAAGATACTACTGCCCATTTGCTATTTCAGTTTTTCTCCGTCACCTCTTACGACACTCACGCGGCGATTTGGCTTGTCGCATATTCGTACATTGCCACTACATAGTCAAGAAAACCCGTAAAGATTCTTAGAACGATTAGAATTCATTATTTCAAGATATTGTAAGTAATAAAAAATCAAGTACTAACTTGTAATGGTACAAAGCATATGTGTCGAAGTATTCCTGTCTAAGCTGGTTAATCCCTACGAAATGGTGATTCGTCTTCATCCAAACAGGCGGTGACCACGTCGTAGCAACTATATGTACCGGGGACGTTGCCACCTTGCTAATTTCTTTGATCATTGGTATCTGGTAACATTGTTGAATGTGATACTATATCGTCCTTTTCAACATCTTTAGCGTTATAAGTACACTACTAAAAAACGTTGTCGATGATGTGACAACCGAAATACAATCTTTGATAATTCTCTCGACGTTGGGTAAGCGGATTAGTAAACGCAGGAACGATATCCTCGTACTGGAAATGATTCAATAACAGTCCGTGAGATTTAGATTGAGAATTTGTTGGATACCTCCTTGCGTGATGATTGAGGCAAATCCTCTTCCAAAGGGAGAGGCCTAATCCATAGTACACCTGATGATAAGCAGATTCTATATTCATTACACAGGATAATTTTGCCATAACCGGCCAAATTTGCAGAAAAGGTTTAGAATATGCAATATAGGCAAATATCAAATAAGAAATCAAACATTCTCTTCTTTTTATCTTATAAATTCAAAAGGCATGGTAATGCATTATTTTAACTGATTTTCTTAAGGATCGATTGGTAGGTAGGCGAAAACGATGTTGCCCATAAATCACATTAAATTCGGGACAAATTAAAATAAGAGTAGAAGCCTTATTAACTTCTATTAAAAAAAAAACTGCAATGATGGTATATCATTATTTATGTATTTGAACTTAAGTTTAAAATTTGGATATTCTTTGAAAAATAACCCTGTATATTCAAAATGCATATGCGATGTCATTCCGATGGTCTAAAATGGGATATATGTAGTTCAGTAAAAGGGTCTGAGGTTCTCGTCACTCACCTATCCAAACAAAGAAGTATTATGCTGCTATTTAAAGCTGGTATTCTTTGCAGGTGTTTTTTAATAAAACCAAGGTGACAATGGAAATTAAAGTCCAGTAAGAGTCTACTGCATTCTAGTGCATGTACACCATGAGATTTGCAGCCAACTTCAAGCAAAAAAGACTACAGTTTTCCTCTCTGAGGACTAAGATAGAATGCCTTCCATTTGGCACGATCCTGACAAACCTCTCTCATCCCTACCACATACTTATACATACGCATATATGTTCGTCGATTAAGGGTAGTCTTAGTTTTGCCCATTTTCAATATATCATCAATTAGGTCGATTAACTTTCGCCTAGGTTGTCCCTTCCCGACTTAGCCGTTCACTTCTGCAACATAAATTTACTTTTTCACTCTTTCCTCATTCATTCTTTCTGCATGACCAAACTACCGAAGCATTTCCTTCGTGCTTTGGCACGATCCTGCCACTCCTTTTTTGCTTCCTTTACATCCATATATTTAAGCATAAATGCTAGTCGGTTAAGGGTACTCCTAATCTGACCCTTTTTAACAGCTAATAACATACTCCTTAATGACCACATTTCTACAGCATTTAATCTACTCTCGTGCTTTTTCTGCTACACTCAACTTTCACTACCGTAATTTAAAGTGAGGACTAACACAGCGTTGTGTACTGCCGAACGCGCCTTATTGACACCATTTACTCTATTTCCTGCGTTTACATGTTCTTCTATTTCCTTATCATATATACTATCTCCGCTAAATATACATCCTAAATACACAAACTAATCTACTTGCTCGACCAACTCCCCCTGTATTCTTATTTCCCGTAAATAAAATTGTTCTCTGTACTCTTCAGACTGTAACACAGTAGAGCAGGCACTGCTGTTTGGCGATAGAAACAGGCTAGAAGGTGATACCTACTCAGACGGACCACTAGGCAGAAAAGGAGTCCTACCATCTAGTATTATGTTGAGTGTATGTTGGGTGTGCTTCTTCTCTTATCGAGACAAATGAATCGAGTTGCATCTACTCGTAAATATTTCAAATGTAAAATAACTTACTTTGTAATAATAGTCTTCGTAGCTTAGTGAGTAATTTGAAAGCTTCGTGTCATTTTCGGGCTGTTCATTGTAGGCATAAGGATGGGTTGAGAAGTCACAACCGCCGATTGGCACTCGTAGCATGTTGTACTCCAGACCCTTCAAACTGAAGTATGAGCTAGAAAAAGGTAAGAAAGAAGTCATTTTTTCAGAATTATAATAAAAAGGATATGCTAAAAGGTCTCCTAACTAGTTAAACTGAAAACTAAAAGTAATATTAAGGAAAATATTATTGCAACAAATGAAAGAGCAACTGTCATTGGTGGTAGCCCAGTTAACCATGATAGTATATTAGTACAAAAAGTATTTTTATGTACATATGGTTGAGAAAAAGGCGCACAGTCCGCATGATGGTGGTCTTACTGTCTATAGACATATACATTTACAACTGTATATCGAATTTTTAAAAATTGATCAGCTGGAAAACATTATATAAAAGATTTAGCCCATAATCATCGGGCAGGTGGTGATCAGTCCAGAGCTGAAAGCCTCTCATAGTAATGCTCCTATCACTAGCCTGTATAGGACTTCGCCTTTTAGAAGATTTTCCGTCATTATTTGTTCAACTTAGCGATGCTTCGTGAATTGACTTATTTCTTAAACCCTAGTAAATATACAGTGAATCGAATTTATCGAATATATCAGTAACTGATAGCGTGACGGTTTTTATATTTCACGGGTTTTTTCATACATTTTGATAATATTATACTTACTCGATTAAGTATTTCTGCATCACTTCTGGCAAACTTTTCCAGTTGATAGCTGCTGAATCAGTCACGGCACCTCCAAACCCTTCAACTGCTTGGTATGTTTTCATTGGGTTTATATCAAAACTGGTTCTGCAACATCCTACTGAAAATAAGTATAAATTTAACAAAGTAATTATTATATAACACATTGACTTTAAGCTTTAAATAAATGCAAAAAAAATCACAGAAAACAGAAATTGCTGTTTCAAGAATACTTGTAAATGAGGAGAACAAATTTAATTTGAACAAAATTAGCTTACATGAATGATTCAAAGTCTGAAATGCTCCTATAGTCTTCTGAAACCGAGCTCCAGCCTGCAAATGCCAGAAAGAGAGTAGAGTATATAGTACACGGTCATGTTATGTTTTCATTCAAGAAATATTTCGGTTCTTTTTTGGAAACATTATTTAAATTTTATAAATCTGCCTTGAAGTGGCGATGTAATGATGACTTCTCACTGCGTGTGAACGTGCCACACGCAGTGTGAAGGACTTGGCGAGGCGCAGCGTGGGCAGGCGTGGCGCGGCGCGTGCTATCCGTTTAAAGTGGGTAACTTCAAAGGAGCCCGCGGCAGGGCGTTTGTTTATAAGATTGAACTCGTTCATTTCGTCTTCATTTTCTTAATTTTATTAAGTAAATGATATCTACAAAATAAGACAAATGCGGCGGAAGCAACAGCGATGCCTTCTTATTCAGTGGTATTGCTCCATGGCTAGAGGTGGCAATTCGACTCACACGACATTTCAGGTGCGCTGCACTAAACAGACTGAGTCGGTGTCGGTGGCTCGAAGTTTGGGTAAGCTCACGCCGCGCCGTACCAGTGAAAACGGGTGGCACGGGCTCTCGCGCGGCGCGTGCTTGCGCGTACAAATCAACTAGGGCGGTGCGGCGCGTGATAACACACGCAGTGAGAAGTCGGCTTTAGAGAAATTACTACCCCATGTCTACCCGTAGGTATCGTAAGAGGCGAGCAGAGAGAAAGAGAAAGCAGAGAGAAGGTAGAGAGAAATTGAAACAGGAGACGGGTAGCAGAATCCTCTTGATAACACTTAAAAATAAATAAATACTGCGGTTTCCAACCCGAATGCTAAGCGTGGCAACTATGAAAAATATCCGCCCTAAGAGATTATTTATGAGGGAGATCTATGTTGAGCAGAGGACTTTGACAGGCTGTTAAGATGATGAATAAGAATCAATTCTTAGTTATAAAAAAATGCACCTCGGAAGTTGTATAAGCTACGTAGCTGCCATTTACCGGCACATCTCTTGTGATGTCATCGCAGTAAGTAAAATTGCACACGCATATCACCGAGCGTCCGCTGATGCGCCGAGCTAAACATGGCTTATCTAAAGCTGTAAATAGAAAAAAAAAATCGTTAAAGATTCTAGGTTACAGGACTCCTTTACTGTCTAGTGGTCCGTCTACATAGGAGCAACTCTGATACATAATATTTCTGCCTCCAATTAGCAGAGCGTATGCTGCAGTTTTCCGGTCTGGAGGGTATAAAGAGCAGTACAATTATTTTATAATTTACAGGCAGTGAGACATTTCATCTCAGTTACAAGAGGCAAGAATGCATCTGTAGCCTTCTTTATTTGAAGTTGGTGCCGCTTAATAATAATAATAATCTTTATTTCGGACGAAAATTAATCCATAGTAGTAGTGTTAGTAACAAATGACTTATAAACTAGTGTTAGTAAACATTAAAGTGCGGACAAACTTTTTCAAAATCGGAGAATTATAGTTCTCTGCTACTGTTTTTAAAATTCTGTTGTGACTATCTCTCCCCGTTCTTTGCAGCGAAGCTGTTTTCTTGCGTATTATCGCATGAAAGCCGTCCGTGCGAGCTTGCGCAAACATCTCCAACGCACTACAGTAGCGAGGCAGTCCCAACAAAATTCTGAAAGCGTTATTGTATTTAACACGTAGGACATCCGGCTTAATATCAAGTCGGCCGTAAGTTCGTTTGTAACTTTAGTGTTATAAAAGTGCCAAGCCTTCTTTGCACAATTAGTGTTCCGCTGAGTTCTATATTTGACTTGTGAATCAACATAAGTCAAATATAGAATATTTGACTTATGAATCAACATAAGTCAAATATAATTACTAAATGCACCGATTTCCCATTTTCTGATTTTACAAAAACACTTTTAAATTTGTACTACCTCTTCTAATACGGTGGCTGAAAAATAAAATTCTTGTAGGCCGGAATCTAAAATTTGATGCCGAAAACTAGCGTTTTGCATATTTTTCACGTCAAAAATTATTATAAAAAATTTTTTTTGTAGCACTCATTGAGAGTTATAAAAATGAAAACTACATTATATAAGCTACAAATTAACATTAAAAGCACTAGGTCACTATAATGGCAATTATTTTTTTATTGTACCTTAAAGTTGACTCCACTAAAAGCTTCGATCAACAATACCAACTAGATAACGGGTCACGTACAAAATCATAGCCACAGCGGTGACACTCTCTGTACCTACGTGACAGTTGAGTCGAAGCGTGTAACGCTAGGGTTGATATCGAACCGAAATGGAATATTATAGACTTTTACTAAAGAAGATACATAGTAGGTATATGTTATATATTATGTAAACTTATGTATTTGGGTAGTGAAAGATACGTTCAATTTTAAATCAACTTTTAATAAATATCTTTACAAATGAGGAATATTAAAACTTCCGACAAAACCAAATATGCAGGACAGTTAATGATAATCTTAAATAATTAACCAGCACTTAGTATTTCAGTACGCAATAATCAGTATTACCTACTCTCCTTTAAAAATTAATTTACTCTTATATATTTTTGATTTTTCGATTACTTTTATAATTTTTAGACTTACACAGCTACATTTGTTTACTAAAGAAATGAGACAAAAAATTAAAATAGTTTTAAGTTCAACCTAATTACAACAATCGCATCTAGTAATAAAGTCACAAATCATACGATCATTACTCACAAAAAAGAACAAAGCTAAACAAGACTCCTATCACTTGGAAATTAAAAGACATGAATTAAATAACATTTGGTGTGCAATCAACCTTAAAGTGTAACAAATAAAGTTTTTGTATGTATATATATATATATATATATATAAATATATAATTAAAATAGATGTATATTGAATTAGTTAATTAAATGCAATCAATATACTACATACTATATTATATTTAATGGCTAGTGTGGAAAGTATGTATACCAACAATCATAAATGCCCAAAACATAAAAATAATTTTAATTAAACTTATGATCATATTATAAATTATTTTAGTGTTCAACGCGACTCAATACTTCCTGGACCAAATTCGAAGAAGAAAACAGAAACACAACGTAGCTTGCAAGCTTCGATCAATTATATACTAGATTAAGGATCAGGAACAAAAATAAGTCGCACAAGTGGCCACGTTTGCACACACATAAACATCTATCCATCTTAGAAAAAAGTTTAATAACATTAACAACTTCAGTTTATTATAAGCCTTAATAACACTTTAACATAAAGCTTAATCACCATTGCAATATATATATATATATATATATATATATATATATATATATATATATATATATATATATATATATGTATTCTTTTTTAACACACCAATTTACCCTACTCCTGTCATCTTCATGTAAGCCTTTATGGGTTGTCTGGAAGAAATTGCTGTCAGCAATAACATCGCCCATTGCATACTTTTAAAACGTGGTAGAGCCATGCTGAAATTATATTAGTAGTATAGTTGTAGCACTAATGGGTCGGCTTTACCAGGGAAGAAAGCTAAAAAAGAGCGAAGTATCTATTGGAATTACATAAACAAAGACAAAAGAAGCAATTACCATTATTTAAAGTTTTGGTAACGAATTATTACAATATAAATCTACTTCATGCGTCTATGTTCTGTTTCACAAATGTTTGCGCGTGTATTGGTCAACATCGGCAAAACATTTGTAGGCGTGGTTATGTTCGGTAATTTTGTTTCAAATATGATATTATTTGTTAGTTTAGAGCTTAAAATATAACATATTATACATGTAATTACCGAAAGTAAGACACTCCGGCCGTTAAATTACTTTTAAATACACATTGCGGCATTGTGAAACGTGTTTACATTGGCTGTATTTCAAGTGAACTAAACGGAATAAGAGCTCACGTCTCATGTGCGCTCTTACTTACTTAGATGGATTTCTTGCGCCGACCCGACATCCGAGATTTTTTTATTTCCCTGATTTGGTAACTCTTTCGTCATTCTGAACATATATTAAAGCTGATTGCACTTTTATTGGTCCGTGAATCACAACTTACTTTTTTACCAAAATCATTATTTTACACTAACAATTTTACTACTTTATGATAATTACCTGCAATTTAGGAACTGCTGTTTTTAGTAATCTACGCTTTTACGTGTTTCCAGTTATGTCTATTCTATCAAAACGAATCGAACTTATCCTCAAATTTTGAGTTGTATATATATATACTCATTCTGAACAGCGAAACGGGTCCCTAGGAAAGCTACAAACAAACAAAAAATATATATATTAAATAATAATACTACTTCATGCATGTTTGTTCAAGAACAGTCGATGTTTGTTACAATAGTTGTTGCGTTGTAGCAAACATTGGCTAAACAAACATAATGTTAGGTAATTGAATTACTTGTAATTGAATTCTGTTTTTATTTCCTGAAAAACACTTCATGATAGTAAAAAAAAAGATATTACTTCCAAAATCTTGGTGTAACGGTGGTTATTTGCAGAGTTTTAGAAAGCGCACTGCGGCATTTCGACGTTTTAACGTTGGCAATGATTGGACCATACTAATTTGAAATAAGACGTAAGACCACAGAAGTATTTGTGGTCTTATTTTTCTGGCCGTTTTTGAAGCGCTTATCGGGAATCTAGTATATTATTGATCGAAGCCCACACGGTACTAATTGTATAAAAATTGTGTAATAAAATTGTAATGAGTCTAGATGTTTGTTCTTGTGAAATGTTTGTATGTAAAATACAGAAGATAATCTTTGTATGGGGGAAAGGTTTTAAAAAGGAGAAAGAGAATAATAACCGATTTAAAAAGTATATTACATGATATCTTCGCCAATATATAACCGATTATAATGATTTTTAATGAGTAGACTATGCCTTGAGGACAGTTCATTTTAATTTGAAAAAAAAAATATTCTAAGTAAGTAAGTAATGGTCGAGAAATAATCTATGAAATTTTGACTATACAGACGATGTTCTTGCCTCTAACTTGAGTTGTTGTATAGCGACTTATACGAATGAAACAATTAAATTAAAAAAGTAAAAACCAACTGAAAAAATACATAAAAGAATAAAGTAATATGTAATTGCCACAGAGTTCAATGGCTCTGAAGTCGGTGCTTCAATTCTTCATTATTTAATTGTTTGATACACTGTGTTTTAGCCAAAACATCCGAAGATATTACAATTTCCTCATAATCAAATTTAACTGAACTTTTGATATTCTTAAAAAAATTAGGAATGGTTTCTTATTTTTAATTTTAATGAATTTCTATAAAGATTCGGAAAATGTTAAAAGTTTTATGGCAAAAAACATTCCTATATTAATTCCATTTAAAAAAACAAAATCTTCAAGGTACTCACCAGAGTTGATAGCATTAACAAAATATATGAATAAAGTCAAAATTATGACAAAAAATTTCATTTTTCACTGTTTTAATACGAAAATGCGATAAACATAAATTTACACAAATTCTGTGAGCATGTCTCGGTTAGCCGTACGAGTATGTTATAAGGTTACTGGATTACTGGATCTGAAACTTAGGGATCAGGGTTGCCGTTCTACAAATTTTAAAGTCCCTAGACTAACAGAAAAATCCGCCAGAAACAGGATTTTGCCTTTTCTTAAAATCCGCTAGATGTCCCTAGGTATATTTTCGTGGTACCATTGGGTTAACTGAAAAATCTTGCCTAATGGTCAATGAATACCGAAAATCTAAATCTATAAATTCAGTAAACCTTAAAAGGAGCGGACTCTATTTCAAATAAATCAGTTATTTATAGTGTAGGTTATTGATATGATGAAACAAAAATTTATTCATGTACAAAATAAAAAAATATTGTAAAAAATAAATCTTAAATCTTTAAACTACGTTTAAACATTAGTCATATTATTAAAAAAAAAACAATTAGCTCAGTACGTTCTTGTACCTAAATTTCAAAATTAATAGCGAAGTATGGATCCAAATCTTCAAAAAGAACTTCAGCGGAAGTTGAAGCTTCGCCAATGTCTCCAGTTCACATCTTTGGTTTGCCTTTATCGATTTGGTTGACAACATCTTTGGGAATACCATTCGTTGCGTAATTATTTTTTTAATCCTTAACTGATTTCTAATCAGAAGAATAGAATTTAAAGTTTTTTCTGATAGCTTGTTTCGCAATTTGCTTTTAACTACATTCATAGCACCAAATACGCATTCAAATTCTGCATTTGAGTGCGGTAGTCATAATATTACTATTGCAAAATTACATAAATCTTCGAATATGTTTACTCTTGCTGCATTTCTGTATGTCGAAACCTTAGACCGTGGTCTAAGGTCGAAACAGATGAAATTGAATGAACGACATTGAATTTTTAGTTTATGTTCGGGAATTCTCATGAAATTATATAATATATACAGTGTTACCAACGGTAGATTACAAAATTGGACATAGGATAAATGACTTATTTGAAATGATTTACTTCATAATTTTTTTATAAAAGTTAAAATCCGCTAGATCTAGCGAGAAAGTCGCTAAAACGGCAACACTGGTAGGGATTATAATATGCTCTTTGGTTAACTGATTGAACCCGACCAGATTGTCGATTATGACTGGTGACTCATTGAAATTTAAATAAGAATTAACTGGAACTGACTGAAGAATAACCGTCGTACTCGTACTCCTTTACATTATTTATACGCAGAAGCGAGGCGGCGTTATCGAATGAATGTAATACATGTTATGTTTATGTATACTTCGTCTTATGTCATAACGGTCTTAGTTTCAGATATCATTCGGATTATTGGTAGGGTAACCATACCAACAATTGGAAATATGAGTATAAAATATTATATACCAACAAAATATTGAAATAAATGAAAATTTTACAACATAGAAAGTTCGTGGTACAGCCATAATAAAGCTGCAACGTGGTGCTATCACGTGGCAGTGTAAGACAAGCCACTACCCCATATCGTCCCATGAGTGTCCTAAGAGGTGACCAAGCGAAACGGCGAAAGAATACAGGAGATGGACAACATATTAAATCTAAAATATAATGAATTACGCTCGATCACTAGGTGACCACCAGTATTTACTTATCTCTTTGACTGCCTCTGATCTAGTGGTCCCGGTTTATTTACTCATATGCTATTAGAGTGAAGAAGTAGAGAGAAAGAGAGAGATTGAGGAAGAGAGAGAAAGAAAAGAGAGAAGCAGCAACTGTGCTTACGCACACACTGATAGAAATTCGGTCCAAGGGGCATTTTCATTACCTATCTATTATGTAATAACAAAAACAGACACACACAAACACACACACACACACACACACACACACACACACACACACACACACACACACACACACATACACACGCACACGCACGCATACACGCGCACACAGACGCACACGTATGCATGCACACGCACACGCACGCATGCATACACACTTTGTTTATTTTTTTTATTTTTCTTGTACTATGTTTAGAGTCTGCATTGTACACGGAATATAAGATAACTGAATGGGAGGGAAACTGCTTTCTAACATACAGAGTAACCTAGTTTAGGAGTCAGGGTATCTATGAATTGTATATTAATTCTGCGTTCAATAAAGAATTATTGTTATTACTATTTTCATAAACAAAAATAGGTTTGCAGTGTGCAAATATTAGCATACAATTGCAAATTTTAAACTAAATCCTAAAGTACTCGCGGAAAAAAAACTGTGGATTATGGATAACCTAGGGTTTTAAACCCTGTTCTGATCATTGAATCACAGATGACAATAAAAAAAAAGAATCACAGATTTCCATGAAATGTTGTGTGTAATTAGATAGGGACCCGGGGCTACTTAAAGGATACTTTTTATCAGATTACGACACTATAAAAAAGGAGGGTTAAGTATTTTCCTTCCTTAAGATGTTAATTTCTATTTTATACGATTGATGTGTTTTATTAAAATAAATAAAATATTTATAAACAAAATCCAAAATAAGTTCAAAAAAGAAAAAGAAATTTGTAAAGAAAAACATTACAAGGAAACCTACATTTCAGAGAAGTAAAAAAATGTTTCGGAAATTATTTTACTGCATATCTTTATTATTTTGAGCTACGATCAGAAAGACGCTGCTTATTTTTTTTATTTATTAGACGGGCGTCTTATGTAGATTTCTACTCCTGTTAACGAATTTAATTCTTCTTACACGTTCACCGTAAATAGAACTACATTTATGAAATTTCGAAGACTACTTGAACGTAAAAAAATACTGGCATGTGGTGCTAAGCAATATTCAATGGTAACAATATAAAGACCATGAAATTAAATCTTATTTGATCAAAACTATATCAACTTAAATTATGCATATTATTGAAATGGGGGTTCTTCTACAGCAATCTGTAGGTTTTCATGTACGTATACAACCACATCCTCGTTTTGTGTTAGATTATTAGCAGTATTAAAGTATTTATAACCAGTTAGGTCAGGGATATTATGTGTATTGGGAAGCCAATATTCAGTTAATGTAATTATGTTCCAGTCAACTATAGTCCTAGCGAGTGTGGTATAGAAATCAATCATATTTTTCGAGATACTTCTAATATTTTGATTAAGTATTTTGAGTGATTGCTTAGGGTTAAAGTTTAGTGGGATGCAATTGTCTAAGTCACAGGTAGATGAATTCGACACTCAGACAGAATCAATGTTGTATGTGTTATTTAGTATATTATCTACTATTATGGTGCTTATTTTTCCCAGTTACATTATTATAAGTGACATTTAACAGAGCTAATTTGATAATGAGAATTAATTGATCGCCAAAAGTAGTACGGAGAGAGAGCTTATAGTTTTATATATTCTCGTATTGCACACAGCATATGTGTTCTTAGTTAATAACATTAGTTGTATGTAGTGTGTGTATGTATTTGTTAGTGTAGTATTTGTGTATTCTGTAGAATGTTGTATGTATATGAAATGATGTTGGTGATTAATATAGTTTTTAAATTTAATTCTATAAACTTGTACCAAGAATAGTATTATAATATATGTGAACAATATTGCTAAAGATAAAATAACGCAATCTAGTCACTTTTGTCTTCGTAGTTGTGCTAGATCATCTTCTGACTTGATAAGTCGGCTGGGCATCCCTTCTTTTTCGCTTATGTACACCTTACCATTGGCTGTCCAACATTGCTCGTATTTACTGCTCTTAATAAACTCTCTTGCAAGGTAGTAGAGTCGCTTTGTCATGGCGGTGAGCACTTTAGAGACTTATAAGAAATGCTTCGGTCCTTTTTCTTGCAAGTGGGTTGTGTTAAGACGGTTTTCCTTGTTCTGTTTATTATAGATTTTAGTTGACTTTAAAAATAGTTGCTTTGCCGCCGCTGACGAGAATTCCACAATAATTGTACCCACTGATTCCGTCTTACTCTTCAAACGAAAAATATTTATAATGTCCTTTTCCAGTACTGGATGATTAACAATACTGCCAAGTTTTTTGATTGTGCTTATTTAGAAGATTGTGATTTCAGGACACTGTAATGATACATTTTTATTTCAAGTGATGCTGCTCTCAATTTTTTTCCAAAAAGTCTACCTTATTTTCTAATGTTTTTATAACCTGTTGATTTTTGATACAATCTGCTTTTAAATTATTTATCTCAAGCATCGCCTCATCATATTTGTCAGACAAAAATGACATGGTCTTTTGGAGTTCTTCCATGGATTTCTAAGTTTTGAATGGCAATTTTTGCGTGATGAACTCAAAAGTTCGAATTTATTCGATTGCTATTTGCAGGGTATCTATTTTATTGTTTTGTTGAGTTTGGTTCAACACGAACTCCTCAAACATGGTTTTCGTGTCTAACATAATTTTTTCCATTCGTCCTAATTCATCCGACTCACGTTTTCTTTTTCTTTGTGTTATGTATAGGTTTTCATTATTGGGGCACGATGTTAAATTCGGTTCAGATGTGTAGTGCGTGTAGATGCGAGCGTCGTATCATGGTTTAGTTTAAGCTTTTTTTTTATTTATTCCTTTATTTTATTTGGTACTTATAAATGTTTGTTTAGTGTTTACTAACAAATTTTTTAGAATAAGTAGTATATTTAATTTACTCACAAGGCAACGAATTATCTTGTAATTTCTTAACTAATTTCGCAGTTGGGTTTTTGAACTATGTAGTCCATGCACTTTACTACATAACAGAACTTTTTACAAATTTAAAGATTAACTTTATACTCAATAGCGAATATTAACCACGGAGACTTAAACAGGTACATGTTGTTGCGCGATCACCTGCGGGCGGAGTGAAAGTGAAATTGTTTATGTAATTTGTCCCTCTTTCTTATTGATTTTACAACTCCTGGTATTATTCAAGGTTTTAATGGCATATCCTATACCTTTAAACGAGCAATTCTAAATATATATAATCGGAATCTCGGAA